AAATCTGCAGGACCGGGCAGTTTTAGCAATGTGGTCTGAGAAAGTCAGCTGATCATCAATCATAACTCCAAGGTTTCTGGCTGTTTTTGAAGGAGTTATGGTTGATGTGCCTAACTGGATGGTGAAATTGTGATGAAACGATGGGTTTGAAGGAACCACAAACAGTTCTGTCTTAGCCAGGTTGAGTTAAAGGTGATGGTCCATCATTCAACAAGAAATGTCTTTTAGACATGCTGAGATGCGAGCAGCTATCGTCGGATCATCAGGATGGAATGAGAGGTAGAGTTGAGTGTCATCAGCATAGCAGTGATATGAAAATTAAACCCTAGATTAAAACTAGATTAAACCCTAATCTAGATTAAACCAATGCACACACAAAAAAAAATATCAGCAAGCTGAAACAATGCCTTAATTAATGTCTTAATTTAAAACTGATGTGCAGAATCAAGTTGTTAATTAGATCAACAAAGTTAATTAAGTGGAGATCAGGTATTATGTTAATTACAGGTCTAAAGCGCAGATAGGACTTATTTTACTGCATGCCATGAAGTCGTTATTTGCACTTTAGATTTTATATGCATGACTAAATGTCAACACAAACCCCAGTCCTGAAGCAGAACACTTCAAACAGTCATTCTGTTTGAGGAACACACTTTGGTTATGCAAGAAAATAGTTTATGTAATACATCTGATTACTGAAGGTAATTTTGGACAGTCAGATATTTCATATACTTTCAATATACAGTAATCCTGGCATTTTCCAAGTAGGAGTGAGGAAAAGTCCTGTATTTTATTAATAACCATCTTGGTGATGATCAATCTTTTATCAAGCAAAGTTTTTAAAATCTATTTCTAATTATCTCTGCACTTTTTCCATTAAAACTGAATGCAGTAAAACTGTAGCTGGCTTATATGATGAAACACTTAGAATGATCTCTGTTAGTGCACACTAACAGCTTTCGTAGTGTACTGGAATGTGGAATTCAGTATCCATTAATACACTTGAAAGATGAATATTTAATTGAAGCAGGAATCTAGATTAAATTAAAGGTAGAGATTAAAAGTGGTCTAATTTCAACATCATCAATTCAAACCTTGAGTGCTTAAAAGCCAGTGAATTTAATTCCTACCATGGGTGAAGTGTTACTTATCAGTGGTGCAACAAATGTGTATGTATGCGATTATGTATTTTTATATATAAGATTTATTTATTTATGTATTTGTTTTGTACAGTTTTATCTGTCCTATTACATCTAGTCTAAATAATTTTGAAAAAATACAGAAAATAAATTATTTCAGCTTGAAGTTTAATCTATAGTTGCTCATTATTATTTGGTGCTTATTAGTGGTGTCCTGAATTCTAATTATATAGTTGTGTGTCCTCTTGAAGACATTTATAAAGTAATAAATGAAATAAAAATAATAATAATTCTTGCAAGCACAATTATTATACTAATGAAAAAATATATAATAACGTCTTTAGAATTATGTTTCTGTTTTGACCTATAATTAGACAAATCTGGTCAAAGTCCCTTCAACAA